AGTGATAAAAGTAGCAAAGCGAAAAAATAAAAGAAAAAATGCTAAAATAGGAATCCAAAAATGATAAAAATAGCAAAGTAAAGAAATAAAAGAAAAAATCCTAAAATAAGAATCCAAAAATGATAAAAGTAGCAAAGTGATGAAACAAAAGAAAAAACCCTAAAATAAGAATCCAAAAATGATAAAAGTAGCAAAGTGAAGAAACAAAAGAAAAAATGCTAAAATAAGAATACAAAAATGATAAAAGAAGCAAAGTGAAGAAATAAAAGAAAAAATGCTAAAATAAGAATCCAAAAATGATAAAAGTAGCAAAGTGAAGAAATAAAAGAAAAAATCCTAAAATAAGAATCCTAAAATGATAAAAGTAAGCAAAGTGAAGAAACAAAAGAAAAAATCCTAAAATAAGAATCCAAAAATGATAAAATTAGCAAAAGGAAGAAATAAAAGAAAAATTCCTAAAATAAGAAACTAAAAATGATAAAAGTAGCAAAGTGAAGAAATAAAAGAAAAAATAAAATAAGAATCCAAAAATGATAAAATTAGCAAAAGCGAAGAAATAAAAGAAAAAATGCTAAAATAAGAAACCAAAAATGATAAAAGTAGCAAAGTGAAGAAATAAAAGAAAAAATCCTAAAATAAGAATCCAAAAATGATAAAAGTAGCAAAGCGAAAAAATAAAAGAAAAAATGCTAAAATAGGAATCCAAAAATGATAAAAATAGCAAAGTAAAGAAATAAAAGAAAAAATCCTAAAATAAGAAACCAAAAATGATAAAAGTAGCAAAGTAAAGAAATAAAAGAAAAAATCCTAAAATAAGAAACTAAAAATAATAAAAGTAGCAAAGTGAAGAAATAAAAGAAAAAATCTTAAAATAAGAATCCAAAAATGATAAAAGTAGCAAAGCGAAGAAATAAAAGAAAAAATGCTAAAATAAGAATCCAAAAGTGATAAAAGTAGCAAAGCGAAGAAATAAAAGAAAAAATGCTAAAATAAGAATCCAAAAATGATAAAAATAGCAAAGTAAAGAAATAAAAGAAAAAATCCTAAAATAAGAATCCAAAAATGATAAAAGTAGCAAAGTGATGAAACAAAAGAAAAAACCCTAAAATAAGAATCCAAAAATGATAAAAGTAGCAAAGTGAAGAAACAAAAGAAAAAATGCTAAAATAAGAATACAAAAATGAATTTTAAAATAAGAATCCAAAAATGATAAAAGTAGCAAAGCGAAGAAATAAAAGAAAAAATGCTAAAATAAGAATCCAAAAATGATAAAAATAGCAAAGCGAAGAAATAAAAGAAAAAATGCTAAAATAAGAATCCAAAAATGATAAAAATAGCAAAGTGAAGAAATAAAAGAAAAAATCCTAAAATAAGAATTAAAAGTAGCAAAGTGAAGAAACAAAAGAAAAAATGCTAAAATAAGAATACAAAAATGATAAAAGAAGCAAAGTGAAGAAATAAAAGAAAAAATGCTAAAATAAGAAACCAAAAATGATAAAAGTAGCAAAGTGAAGAAATAAAAGAAAAATGCTAAAATAAGAATCCAAAAATGATAAAAGTAGCAAAGTGAAGAAATAAAAGAAAAAATCCTAAAATAAGAATCCTAAAATGATAAAAGTAAGCAAAGTGAAGAAACAAAAGAAAAAATCCTAAAATAAGAATCCAAAAATGATAAAAGTAGCAAAGTGATGAAACAAAAGAAAAAACCCTAAAATAAGAATCCAAAAATGATATAAGTTGCAAAGTGAAGAAACAAAAGAAAAAATCCTAAAATAAGAAAACTAAAAATGATAAAAGTAGCAAAGTGAAGAAATAAAAGAAAAAATCCTAAAATAAGAAACCAAAAATGATAAAAGTAGCAAAGTGAAGAAATAAAAGAAAAAATCCTAAAATAAGAAACTAAAAATGATAAAAGTAGCAAAGTGAAGAAATAAAAGAAAAAATCCTAAAATAAGAATCCAAAAATGATAAAAGTAGCAAAGTGAAGAAATAAAAGAAATAATCCTAAAATAAGAAACTAAAAATGATAAAAGTAGCAAAGCGAAGAAATAAAAGAAAATGCTAAAATAATAATCCAAAAGTGATAAAAGTAGCAAAGCGAAAAAATAAAAGAAAAAATGCTAAAATAGGAATCCCAAAGTTATAAAAATAGCAAAGCAAAGAAATACAAGAAAATAAAAGTAGCAAAGTGAAGAAATAAAAGAAAAAATCCTAAAATAAGAATCCAAAAATGATAAAAGTAGCAAAGCGAAGAAATACAAGTAGCAAAGCGAAGAAATAAAAGAAAAAATCCTAAAATGAGAAACTAAAAATGATAAAAGTAGCAAAGTGAAGAAATAAAAGAAAAAATCCTAAAATAAGAATCCAAAAATGATAAAAGTAGCAAAGCGAAGAAATAAAAGAAAAAATGCTAAAATAAGAATCCAAAAGTGATAAAAGTAGCAAAGCGAAAAAATAAAAGAAAAAATGCTAAAATAAGAATACAAAAATGATAAAGATAGCAAAGTGAAGAAATAAAAGAAAAAATCCTAAAATAAGAAACTAAAAATGATAAAAGTAGCAAAGTGAAGAAATAAAAGAAAAAATCCTAAAATAAGAATCCAAAAATGATAAAAGTAGCAAAGCGAAGAAATAAAAGAAAAAATGCTAAAATAAGAAACTAAAAATGATAAAAATAGCAAAGTGAAGAAATAAAAGAAAAAATCCTAAAATAAGAAACCAAAAATGATAAAAGTAGCAAAGTAAAAAAAATGCTAAAATAAGAATCCAAAAGTGATAAAAGTAGCAAAGCGAAAAAATAAAAGAAAAAATGCTAAAATAGGAATCCAAAAATGATAAAAATAGCAAAGTAAAGAAATAAAAGAAAAAATCCTAAAATAAGAAACCAAAAATGATAAAAGTAGCAAAGTGAAGAAATAAAAGAAAAATAGCTAAAATAAGAATCCAAAAATGATAAAAATAGTAAAGTGAAGAAATAAAAGAAAAAATCCTAAAATAAGAAACCAAAAATGATAAAAGTAGCAAAGTGAAGAAATAAAAGAAAAAATTTTAAAATAAGAATCCAAAAATGATAAAAGTAGCAAAGCGAAGAAATAAAAGAAAAAATGCTAAAATTAGAATCCAAAAATGATAAAAATAGCAAAGCGAAGAAATAAAAGAAAAAATGCTAAAATAAGAATCCAAAAATGATAAAAATAGCAAAGTGAAGAAATAAAAGAAAAAATCCTAAAATAAGAAACCAAAAATGATAAAAGTAGCAAAGTGAAGAAATAAAAGAAAAAATCCTAAAATAAGAAACTAAAAATGATAAAAGTAGCAAAGTGAAGAAATAAAAGAAAAAATCCTAAAATAAGAATCCAAAAATGATAAAAGTAGCAAAGCGAAGAAATAAAAGAAAAAATGCTAAAATAAGAATCCAAAAGTGATAAAAGTAGCAAAGCGAAAAAATAAAAGAAAAAATGCTAAAATAGGAATCCAAAAATGATAAAAATAGCAAAGTAAAGAAATAAAAGAAAAAATCCTAAAATAAGAAACCAAAAATGATAAAAGTAGCAAAGTGAAGAAATAAAAGAAAAAATCCTAAAATAAGAATCCAAAAATGATAAAAGTAGCAAAGCGAAGAAATAAAAGAAAAAATGCTAAAATAAGAATCCAAAAATGATAAAAGTAGCAAAGTGAAGAAATAAAAGAAAAAATCCTAAAATAAGAAACCAAAAATGATAAAAGTAGCAAAGTGAAAGAAATAAAAGAAAAAAATCCTAAAATAAGAAACTAAAAATGATAAAAGTAGCAAAGCGAAGAAATAAAAGAAAAAATGCTAAAATAAGAATCCAAAAGTGATAAAAGTAGCAAAGCGAAAAAATAAAAGAAAAAATGCTAAAATAGGAATCCTAAAATGATAAAAATAGCAAAGTAAAGAAATAAAAGAAAAAATCCTAAAATAAGAAACCAAAAATGATAAAAGTAGCAAAGTGAAGAAATAAAAGAAAAAATGCTAAAATAAGAATCCAAAAATGATAAAAGTAGCAAAGCGAAGAAATAAAAGAAAAAATGCTAAAATAAGAATCCAAAAGTGATAAAAGTAGCAAAGCGAAAAAATAAAAGAAAAAATGCTAAAATAGGAATCCAAAAATGATAAAAATAGCAAAGTGAAGAAATAAAAGAAAAAATCCTAAAATAAGAATCCAAAAATGATAAAAGTAGCAAAGCGAAGAAATAAAAGAAAAAATGCTAAAATAAGAATCCAAAAGTGATAAAAGTAGCAAAGCGAAAAAAGAAAAGAAAAAATGCTAAAATAGGAATCCAAAAATGATAAAAATAGCAAAGTAAAGAAATAAAAGAAAAAATCCTAAAATAAGAAACCAAAAATGATAAAAGTAGCAAAGTGAAGAAATAAAAGAAAAAATCCTAAAATAAGAATCCAAAAATGATAAAAATAGCAAAGCGAAGAAATAAAAGAAAAAATGCTAAAATAAGAATCCAAAAATGATAAAAATAGCAAAGTGAAGAAATAAAAGAAAAAATCCTAAAATAAGAAACCAAAAATGATAAAAGTAGCAAAGTAAAGAAATAAAAGAAAAAATCCTAAAATAAGAAACTAAAAATGATAAAAGTATCAAAGTGAAGAAATAAAAGAAAAAATCCTAAAATAAGAATCCACAAATGATAAAATTAGCAAAGCGAAGAAATAAAAGAAAAAATGCTAAAATAAGAATCCAAAAGTGATAAAAGTAGCAAAGCGAAAAAATAAAAGAAAAAATGCTAAAATAGGAATCCAAAAATGATAAAAATAGCAAAGTAAAGAAATAAAAGAAAAAATCCTAAAATAAGAAACCAAAAATGATAAAAGTAGCAAAGTGAAGAAATAAAAGAAAAAATCCTAAAATAAGAATCCAAAAATGATAAAAGTAGCAAAGCGAATAAATAAAAGAAAAAATGCTAAAATAAGAATCCAAAAATGATAAAAGTAGCAAAGTGAAGAAAGGAAATAAAATAATTCTTTATTTTCGCTTTCGTTTGTGAGGTGGCTTTATTTTCCTTTGTTCGAGCTTGAATGATAAAGAAATAAATAAATATAATTATATTTTTGACAAAATTATAATTTTAATAAAATATTAATATTTTTTAAAAAATTACCATTTCCCAATTTATATCCTTAAAATAGCTGTGGAACATAATGTCCCATGGATAATTACCTGGATCGCAACCAAGTCGTTCACGTGGATTCTGAAAATTATTAAGAAATTTACTTTATATAAAATTTTATCAAACCTTTTTCAGAAATCCTGACAAGATCGTTGAAGTAGCACTCGAAAGATGAAGTGGGATATATGGTGCTTCATTTAAAATAGCTAGAAATAGTGTATAACATATTAATAATAATTTGAGAAAATATTAATCTTTAATGCATGATCGTATTAAAATAATATATTAAACATTTTAAGATGCAAATATTTGAACCTCGATTGATTAGGTATTTTGAATCTATATTAGCATCGATCACCTCTATGTAGGGATTTTTACGCACTATCAGTTGGTATAAAATAATACCAAAGGACCACCAATCTACACTAAAATCTTTGAATAAATAAATTTATCTATTTATCTACCTAATTCAGATATTTTTGTAATAATATAAATTCAGTAGGACCACTAGGGAATTGAGGGGAGGAGGTGGAGTGCACAAGGCTCGAGCTCTCTGAAAAATTAGAATAGCCACCTGAATCAAGATCTTTTAATAAAATTTAATTTTTTAAGAATATGATACATTTTTAATGCAATCTAAATCCACTGCACATTTTAAGCATCTAAATCATAAAATCAAATGCTCAGCTAAAGAGAAAAAGTTCTTAAATTGCATAGCTTCCCAGATAATGGAAGCAAGTTTTTACCATCATGGGTACACTATTTACGAAAGTTAATCTGACTAGTGTAAGGGATGCGTGGATAAAATATTAACACCGTAACTATAATATTATTTTATAACAATTTTATGAATGCTCTGTAATGCTAAATCACGTGATAGTATTTAGTTCAATGAAGATGTATAAAATGGCTTGATTTTTGGTAAAAATATCTTCTACCGTTATCGTTTACAATTTTAACTTAACTATTTCATCCTATTTTGGTATCACACTTTCCAAAGATGCCACAAATCTAATTCATATTTTAAGCATAAAAATGTCTCATATTTAAAAAACGATTAAAAGTTGACTAAGTAAAATAATTATAATAATATTTTATATATGGCGGTAATTTAATTTTTTTATTATTATAATTGGAGCTCGAGAAAATTAGAAAATTGTAACGTGGTTCATAAAAATTTTGATTTAATATCTAAAAAACGAGAAATAATTTTACCATAATTTCGAGATCCTATCATTTCTGGTGCACGATACAGGGGAGTTCCACATATTGATTTTGTTCTTTTACCTTTCCCTAGTTTCTAATTTGTAATTATAAAAATGGCTTGTTAAATATAATATATTTTTAAGTTTTTTTTAAAACATTATTTTATTTTTTAACTATTGTATTAGTAATATTTACTTAAATAAAGAAACAATTTAGCGAGAAATTTATTTTTAAACTAAATTATATTTTTGCTTTATTGGGGAAATTACCTTGCATGTTGCAAAATTAGATAATTTAATGTGACCGTCATCTAGTAAGATATTCTTAGGGCATATGCCCCTGTGTACAATATCTATAAATTAAAAATAAATATAAAATTATTTGTTTGACAAAAATAGGAAAATTGCTTAATTAACACAAATAATTGAAATAACCGTTTCTATGTAAAAAGTTTATTGCTAGAATAATCTCGGCCGCATAAAAAGCTATACGACCATTTGAGATAGACTTTCCTTCAATATAATCAGATAAATTCCTTCGACCAATGTCCTTTGTTACCAATATGTATCTTGAAATATAAGGAATTATTTATAATTAATTCCATATACATAAAAAAAAATTAAACTGTATCGTAATAACACAAAGCATATTGACTACAGCTGACTTAAATATAATTATGTTCACAAACAACTGACATAAGTTTTTTGTAGGACATCTATATCTTAATACATTATTACTCACAAAAAGTAAATATAGCCTCGATTCTTAAAGCAAAATAATCTTCTAAAAGTATTAAATACCCGAAGGGAAGGTTATATGATGCATGCAATCCCATCAAAAATGAATAACTAGTCGCCATTTCTAAGACCATTTTTTCGGTCTTAAATTTACGAATTGAATCAATGGTCTAAAAATAAAATTGAAATTTTGAGAGTAACATTTTTAATTAGATTTATTAGAGATTGTTAAGATTTATTTATTTTCTAAATATATATAAACCTCTGAACCATATCTAACTTGTTTAGGTATGAATTTCATCCTGTAAATTTGCAGTTGCTTATCGCCATCACAACTAGCTAAATATTCGCGGTTAAACTTTCCTTCCTTCACCAAAGTAAAGATATTGAAATCCGATATCTCGCATTTTCTACTAGGTATAGCCTTAAGATGAAAAGCATGAAAATATTTATGCATTTATATATAAAATGTAAAGCTTATTCGGCTACAACAACCAAATCGCAAGAGCTATTATATTATTGGCCCTAACCCTGGTTCATTTAGGTGGAATCGCCTTCACAATACAAATTTTATCTTATAATATAATCTATAAAAAAATTATTGCTATATTCTTTATATTATTCTTATTAGATTCTTTTAAGCAAATCGAAAAATTTTGCATTCGTATTCATTCATAGAAATGATAAAGTTTACTATCTTTATTTGATTGGTATATTTTTGAATAATTCAATTTGTTTAAAAAAATCGAATACGATTTAATTCATTGTTCGAATCGTATTCGTTTTTGAATAGGTCTAATTACCATATGACTAATAAAAAAAATTTATACTTTGGTTTGATTCATTCCCGACCCTATATTGATAGATAAAAATAAATTATCATTTTATCGATTTCAATAGTTTTAATACATGAATGAAATATAAACATTCGTAAAATTGGTATAATTATAAAACCTGGAAAATATTTACGCTCATCTTTCGTTCGGTTATTACTAAATTTATTTATTATCCATCTTTTAAATTTTGGCCATTTATTTCCATTTGGTTCTAATAAATAAACTCTGTTATGTTAATTTATTTTGCTATTTCAACCTTTAACTCTCTCAGGAAAATTTTCTTCATCAATTCCCTTGCAGCATGAAAAAAGATTAAATCTCATTTTTATAAACAATTTTAATAATAAAATAATGATCATTTTATAGATTCCAAATTAACGTATTACAACAATCAACAGATAATGTATAATATTCTAGAATTATCTTACAAATAATCGTAATTTCATAGTAATGTAATATATCAATCAATATTATCTTTAAAATCTAAAATAAGTTCTAATATCTTTGAGAATTAGGGTTTATAAATGTTACTTTTAGCATGATATAGTATATTATAATAAAAAGTATTCCAATAATGCTTCTAAACTTATTTTTTAAATGATCGCGATGCAATTTATTTATATTACCGATAGTAATTTAGTCGATGAAGCGATTAAGTTGAGTTTCTAAATGATCAAAAAGAGTCTAATCTTAAATATTTAAGTTAATATAGTTTTTAAGAAATTTTATATGAATGATGGTAAGAGATTATCAACTGTACTATAATTATTTTGATAAGAAATCCAAAAAAAATATTTCGAATCGATTAACAAGCCTGTAAGCGAGGTTGGCATTTATAACATTGGGGGCCCCAAAATTGTTATTTAGTATCGCAGCAAGTATCAGATATTTTTTGAAACCAAATGGGTAGTTCGTTCTGTAAGGTGTATGATATATAGAATATCAAAGCGACCGTTCAATTCCTCTTTAATTTTTTAAAAATAGTTCTTACTACATTTTAAGAATATGATATCTCGTAGCACATAAGATATGAGAAGTGATACTTGCTCTAACCGACTGGGACCCATACGCTACATGAAAACAACAATTTTTTTATAAGGATAAAATACGACGAGATTTAATATTTTTATAAAAACTAAAAGTCAATAACATTCTGATTTAAGCTTTCCTTATCCAATCTTCTTTAACACAGGGGAGAGGTGGGATTGTGTGATATTAAAATGATGCAATTGTGCTTTAGAAATTTAGCATATTTCTTAATCTTAAACAATATATAGACAGTCATTATTTATTTTGAATAATTTTTGGATTGCTTATTACCAATAATGGTATGACTTAAATATGATAAAATTAACAAAAATTTAATACATATACTAATTTATTTCCATATTAAATATTAATAATCATAATAATTTTAATAATAATGGCATGACGACATGATTTCTATTAAACTCTGTAATGTATATCATTCATTTTTATATGATTATATTGATGATATTGACATGTATTATATTCCATATTAAATCAACGAAAAAACTCAATACTCAACCCGACCCTTTGTTTCTAGTTAAGTATTAATTATATTTTATTTGAGATTTAAATAATGGTACTAAACGTTTACCGTTGTTATTAAGATATTTATAAAATTGCTGGCTTGTTTAAGCATTAGCTCAGCCTCTAATGTTGTTAAAGCAATCCGATTTTTCTCATTTCTACAGGAAGTCCTCATCAGTTAAAAATGCTATCCGATGAGGCATTAGAACGAGATAAGGAGAAAACATACATATTTTTCCCAAGGATGGGAATTTATCGTTTAATTCAAAAGAATTCCACCAATTTCTCTTTTTTTAGACCATCTATCTTTGATTATTCTGGCGAATCATAAAAAATAGACAATCTCCTCAAACAAGACATTAATATCTATGTTATATTTGAATATCGTATATATTTTAAAGGTTACGTTATATATTTTAAAAGGACGTTATTTGATTAAAACTTTCCGACATTTAATATTATATTATCGAGGTTAATCAAATTGTATATTATTAGAAGTTAAATTGGATAATTATATAAATGTATATATACAAAAGAATTACAAATAAAATTCATTATTGTTTTTAAACATTAATCGATATAATATTTGACGACGAGGTAAAAAAAGTCGCGCGGTCTGCGGTCAAGTTAAATGTTATATAGAATTATAAAAAAAAAATTCTGTTTATAAAAAAAATAATAATATATTTTAGGAATTATGGATAAAAGATGAATGTTCTATTGACTACTATAGACTCATAAAATATATACTGAATGTTAAAAATATTCCTCAAACTGATGTCACTTTGAAAAAATTATTTCTAGCTTATGGAGGAATAAATATTATAACTCATATAAACAAAAATTACTTTTCTAAAAAAAAAAAATATGGGCAGATTTGGCATCTAGAATTGATTTCATTAGATTAAGTCGCGGGCCTACTGAATCCGTAATGAGCTATTTAAAGTATATAGGGAGGGGGGGGCTAGCCCGAAGATGCGATTTTGAAGATAATGTAGAACTAAGAATTCGCGATCAATTAATTGCCGGACTAAAGATGCCACAACAACTAGATAAAGAACTATGTTTACGATACCCAGATACTAAAGACGAAGACCAACCGTTAAGCTTAAACAAAGTGGTAGAAATGGCTTTAGCGATAGAAATAAATAATATTACTAAAATGGGGTATAAAATCAAAGAGACGAATAAACATAATGATAATAATAATTGTGCTTAAGCAGGCTTCACAATAGCCGAAGGAGTTCATCAAGGGTCGGCTCTCAGCCCACTTCTCTTCATTACAGTAATAAATGTATTAGCACAGTCTATACCTCAAACAGTCCAGTGGAATATGATATTCACAGATGATATTGTGATATTTGCTGAATCCAAGGATGAAATGAAAGAAAGATTAGTGAGTTGGATAAATATCCTAGAAAAGCACGGACTAAAAGTAAATAGAGAAAAGACGGAGTATATGGTGATAGGAGGAGATGAAACAGAGAGTATTGATATAAATGAATGCCAGATATCAGCAATTGAAAGCTGCAAATATTTGGTCTCCACTATAGAAACACACGGCACAATAGAAAAAGAGATAAAGAGTAAAATTAATCAAGGGTGGTTAAAGTGGAGATCTTTATCTGGAGTGCTCTTTGTTAAAAGAATCCCACACAAATTGAAGGGAAAATTTACAGTTCCATAGTTTAACCAACTATTCTATATAGTTAAACATGGCTAACCAAAGAATCAGACGAGAGAAGTCTACAAACTATAGAGATCAGAATGCTGAGGATGATTGCTGGGGTATCAAGAAAGGATAAGGTGCGAAGTGCAAGAATACTAAGAAGTTTAAGGTAGTACCTATTAAGACTAAGATAATGGTGAAAAGACATAAGTGATATAGGCACACAATGAGAAGGCCTATGAACCACATAGGAGATAAGGTTGAGAGTTTGGAAGTGATGGGTAAACGTAAAAGAGAAAGGCCAAAACTTCAATGGGGCCATAAAGTTAGAGCCAATATAAAGAAGTATAAATTACATAAAAGAAATTGTATGAATTACATAAAGTGGGGAGAGATGTTGAAGGAGCTTACCACCAGAAAGTGTGAAAGCTAAAGAGAAAAAAATAAAAATAATAATAAACGATTAAATTGATAAAAATAATCGACAGTATAATGATAATGATAAACGGCACTATCAAAATGATTGATGCAGCCCTATTTGGATTTCCGTGTATGGAATTTGACCAACAAATGTAAATAACAATATGATCAACATTAGATATATATATAATGATAGTGATAACGTGAATATAATAAAGAAAATAGATCCATCAACAACAAGAATAACCTGGAGTACTCCAATGGTAGTGGTACGTAAAACTTCAGGGGAACTAAGATTATGTGGAGATTTCAAAATAACATTAAATAAATTTCTACTAAAAGACTATCATATTCTACCAACGTTTGAAGAATTAATCGCAAAAATCGCTAATGGAAATAAATATACAACATTAGATCTCAAATATGCATATCTACAAATGAGCATTGACGATGAATTGCAAGAATTATTAACAATGGTAACACCAAATGGATACTACCGCTATTTACGATTACCTTTTGGTATAGCTACAGCACCAATAATATTTCAACGATATATGGACGATTTACTGGCTTATTGTAAAGATACAGCAGTTTATTTGATGATGTTATAATCACAGGGAAAAATGATACTGAACATATAGAGAATATAAAACAAGTTTAATCAAGTATTTGGAGCTGTATTCATGCAAAAATATGATAATGGTAATGAATACCCATTAGCTTACACCTCGAGAATTTTACAAGATGCTGAAAAGAAATAGTCAACAATCGACAAAGAAGCCAAAGCCATAGTAAACGGCGTAGAAAAATTTCATAATTATTTATATGGACGAAAATTTAAAATACGAAATTTACCACAAACCTTTAATAAAAATATATGGTGATAACAGAGATATAAGCTCCTTATCAAACCAAAGATTATTACGTTGGGCTTATAAATTATCTGCATCATTATGATATAATGTACAAGAATTAATA